ACTTTATAAATGTGGAGGAATGAATGTCGTGTACAGATGGCCATTGCCTTGACTACTGCGCCTCTGCTTCGCTGTTAGCACTTGCAAATTGACACCAAACAGTACGACTTACCTTCGAACAGTGTTATCCTGCTTCGTGTTGACAAGATTCAGCACATACATCAAGGGTGGCCCTTCACCACCCTCGTCATCGCTGCTGTCGGGGTCATCGGAGACCTCGTCCAGACACTCGTCCTGAATATCGGCTCCCTCCTGGTTTCCATGGTATTGTGATTTCCGCTTCCTTTTCTTCTTTCCATCCGCTGAATCCGTTTCTTCATCGCCACTAGTGTCTTTGTGTAAGAAGAACATGGTCCAGTCCTGACTCCGCACATGCGTCTGATCCGGCAGCATCAGCTCTGCAAGCATGCTCTCGTCCCCGCTAATTGCAGCGGGATACTGGTGCTCCATGATCGGGCCCCGATCAATATGGAAGGACGCAACGAGGATGTATTCCACATGGCGCTCCGGCGAGTCGAGCGGGTACTGCGCTTTGCAGCGGCGTGGCCTGAAGCTTGAGGTTGCATTCTCTGTGGATGTTCTTCGAAAGGAGCCGTGTGAGCTGCTAGGCGAGCGCCCGATAAAGGAGGTCGCAGGCGAGAGCCGTGGAAGACCACTTGTTTGGCGGTTATTCGAGGCAGAGAGGGAGTCGTTCGACGGTCGATACGGTAGTGTTGTTGCCATCTTATGGTATTGGGGATAGAGGATTGCTCCAGGCCAAGCTATAAATCGAGTAGCATACCGGGGGGGGGGGGCGCAAAAAGCACAGATCAAGGGCCAATGATAATAATAGTTGAATTAATTGTCTTGAATTAGCTGTTCAGGGGTTAAGAGGGGTTAAGGAAAAGGGCGATTTCTCCACAGTGGAGAGACGATAAGGGCGATAAGAATCCATATAACATCCTTAGAAGGCTGAACGTGAGGATGATCTGTCAGAATGCAATCTCCCATTCCTTTCTACCATAATTGTAGATCTTTCTATTTATGTTGCAAAGAAAAATTGGCACACCGACTTGTTGCACTTCTACAGAGTAAAACATTTGCCAACCCAAAACAAGACTGGTCACTTCTAGATGTCTTAGCCGATATAAAGCGCAAGGCAACCTTGTGTCACGAGACTTGAATCTTCTATAGGTATACCTAAGGAAAGGCTAAATACCTATCTCATGCACTCATTTTATCGGACCCTTGGAAGCCAATTGATGGTTGGTGTGACGAGTATGATTCCTTATAGATCTACAAACATTTCAAAGTTGCATATGCAACACCCAGCCAGCCAGGTTCTATCTTGTCTGAATGCCACGCAAAGCACATAGACTCTATATAACTATTTATCAGGGTAAAATTATAGCAACTAAAATCAAGTCGTACAACATACAACAGAGGATATAATGGTGTATAGATAGCATATGGCGGTGAGAAAGACGGTGGCAAAATCATGTTGTTGTGCCGAGCTTGTTTACATCGATAAGCAAGCCTTCGTCATAGGCTGTTTACAATTCATAATTCAGCCCACTCACGATTTTCACCATGGTAAGTGATGTTTTCGAGAGACAATATATTTATCTCAGACTAATCAACAATGACTTAGGCCAACAATCCCACATTCAAACCATCCCCGTTATCCTTTGGGTCGCCGAGAGCATCCCCGTTCCGGCGCCCGTCCACTCCAAACTCCCCGCCTTCAGCCAGTCGCACAGGAGGGACACCGGGGAGCTCTCCTAGTCGGGCATATACACCTATGGTGTCTCCCAGCAAGCTCAATCAAACATATACAGTGGAGGATGGCGAGTCGCGTTCTCCGAAGAGCGAGCGGCCCATTCCCCAGCCCAACTTTGGAAGAGAGCTTTCTCCCTCCCCCACAAAAGGAGCGCGATCGCCAGGCAGCTCATCCCCAATCCTTGGGACAAGGACCGGTGGATCCGCAGGTCCAGCTGGCGATGCAGCTGGAAAGCTACCAGCACAACAAGTGAGGGAAATCAGAGAAGCTTTCCAGGTTCTCGATCGGGATAACGATGGGCTTGTGGACAAAGACGATGTGATTGATGTGCTGACAACTTTGGGTAGGAAGAAAATCTATTTATCTTTTTCTTGAAATTGGGATGAAGAACTAATCTAACTTTTGAACAGGCCAAGACTCGTCCCCCTCTACGCTCTCGCGCTTCTTCCCACCAGGAGCAGGCCAGACTATGAACTTCCCAACCTTCTTGAATACACTTTCTGGGCTGATGGCAGCAATGTCGCCTTCACAAGAGCTTCTCAACGCCCTTGCTGCGTTTGATGACGATGACAACGGGCAAATCGATGTCGCCGAATTACGTGATGCTTTATTACATACCTCCCCAGAAGAAGGAGAGGAACGGTTGACTGAAAGACAGATCGATGAAGTTTTCAGTGGGTTTGTAGGACGCCCAGCATTTATTGGTCGGGGAGCGAAGTCAGGCGGGATGGGTAAGAGGGGCGAGGTCTTCCAGTATCACGACTTCGTGCGCAGCGTCATGGGTGGGGAGAATGGAAACAATGCGAAACGTGAAGGAGATGCAGCACATGTATGAACTGCTATCATGAATATAGGTTTCAATTGAGTCGGCGTTGCAGGGTTGCGTCTTATAACGTTTTTGGCAGTTGACAGATTTCAAGGCTGTAGAAGCAAAGATCAGACTATAGAAAACTTGTCATGAATGATTCATGTAACATTAGTTCAATTGCCAATGGGAATTTTCAGTGCAAACAGTGAACTAAGTAAATAGTAAAATTGGAAGTGGAAGTATATATCGGAGTTAACGCCTTCCGCGTTTCATCGGCAGAAAAGCTCCAGCCACCGCGATCTGATACACTCCACCTGTCAACTGCGCTCATCTTACCCCTTCCCGAAGATGTCTGTCCGTGGCCGTCCAATGCAGACTTGATTGCAGAAAAATGGCCAAACCTCAGCCCTCCTGGGCTCTTGGTGTCCCGGGCCCCGACACACCCGCATCGCCGCGAACCATGCGAACCCTCCGAAAGATCCAATCCCACCAAGTGCTGTCAACCTCTAGCGCGCTCATTGCCCAGACCCAGGCGTCTTGCCAATCTGGCTCCCATGAAGCTGACCCCAGATCGGCAGCAACTCCTGGTGCTGCAACCCGAGCACGCGCACATCGCCGAGCTCGATCAAATAGCGACGCGGCTTCTCGTGAAGCTGCAGCAACACCACCTGTGACTCTCAGACGACCCGCGCGGAAAACAGGGTCAGGAATTGGAGTAAAGCGATCGCTCTTGGAGAGCCTCCTGCGGGACGGACCGCAAAGTTCAAATCCCCGTGAGGGACTGCGAGAGCTCAAATACCTCGTCCTATCCAGCAGAGTGGATGCTGACGGGGATGGCATGGTGAGGGGTAGTCAGTCTGTTTTGCAAGATGAATGTCTAACACTTTGCAATGATAGTCGCCATACCGAATCTACCTCTGGTTGATCCTCCTCAATGTTCCTCCTATGCCAACCGATGACTACCTTGCTCTTATCCACCGCGGCCGTTCTCCTGCTTACGCCAAAATTCGCAATGATACTTTCCGCACGCTAGCCACAGACCCTCTCTTCAAACGACGAGTCACGGAAGCAAGCTTGATTCGACTCCTGAACGCTGTGGCATGGAAACTCCACGATTCTAGGCCGAAACCCCGGTCTCGACCGTCATCTCGGCGCCGTGAGATGGAGCTTCTAGTCAATGCACCACCCAGCATTGCCGAGGAGTCCCCCTTTGGTGGGGAGCTAGAGAAGGTTACCAATAGTACTACAAGTGATTCGGCCATGTACGTGCAAGGCATGAATGTCTTGTGTGCGCCGTTCCTCTATGCTGCCCGTAGCGAGGTGGAAGCATTCGCTCTGTTCCATTACTTTGTCACACGCGAGTGTCCAGGATATATTCGTGGTGCTATGGACGGAGTCCACAAGGGTCTTCGTTTAGTCGACCGATGCCTTGAGATTGTGGAGCCCAAGCTTGCAGCATATCTGTTCGCCAAGGGTATGCACGCCGAGCTGTATGCATTCCCATCGGTCTTGACTCTCTGCGCTTGTACGCCTCCATTACCAGAGGTGTTGCATCTGTGGGATTTCTTATTTGCATATGGGCCACACCTGAACATCCTGTGCATTGTCGCCCAGCTAATCCGTATGCGTGACCTAATTTTCGAGAGTCCGAGGTAAGTCCTGTCTGTTCTTTGGATTTAGCAAAAGCTAACTTGGCTATAGCCCAAACAAAATTCTCCGCTCATTCCCTCCCCTCGACGCAAAAGAGATCATTGCTTTGACGGTGCTCCTCGTCCGTAAGATTCCAGAGGACCTTTACGCAGAGATGATTAGCCATGCAAAATAGACATGGCTTGAGCTCACTGAGATGCTCTGGCTGAACGAGAAATAAATGTCATACTACCTGGGTGTCATAGCGGCGTTTTTGATATGATTGATCGCAACCTTTGGGTATGGTGATGGATGGGATATGAGACTTGCATTGACGAACACCCAAGATAACACGCTAACACGCTTGTTGGAATGAATTGATGATTGCACACAAATATTTGCTAGTTTTTAAGAATGCATTTGAATTAAGATATCCATGGATGATTCTCCCTTTTAGAATTCCAATCCTTTGCTCTTGTGGAACATGCAGCTTCCTTGTTCGTTTGTTCAGAGAAGCCCTACTTTTCCTCCGCTCCTCTGGGACAACGAGAACAAAGATTGTTTGCCATTGTCTTACAGCGCATATCTTCACATACACGGAACATGGCGTCCGTTTGTACGTTATTTTTCAAGCTTGTCTCCCATAAATCAAAGACAAGAAGAGACGATCGAGATGAAAGCAAACAAGACATCTTCTTCTTCCATACGACCTGCATAATTCAGACTCCTTTTATCCTCTGCGTTATAAGTACGGCCCTGTAATTGATCACTAACTCTTTAATCCATCATCACTCAGAGAAATCAATGTCGTCGTTTCTATCAACATCCATCGTCCTAGCCATATCCCTTCTTCTGATTGTGATATGGAGCAAGAAGCAGAAAACTCATTCCACATCGAACGACCCAGCGATATGCCGCCAAATCATTGCCGGTGTGCTGAAATCCACAGAAAAGCAGCAGTCAAATGTCTTTTCACCACATCAAGCGAAAGCAATGGCCAATAGACACCTCCCAATCGCCTTCGGAATCGACAATGCCTTCACTCGCACAGATAGTGTCCATGCCAGCAGCTTCGTTGAGAAAGTCAAACCCCTGATCAATCTGTCGGCAGAGCAGTGGCACAATGTATCCGAATTCGCCAGAGCGACCACGAGCCACTGGATCGAGCATGGCTTCCCCGGGCTGGATCTTATCTGCAGGAACAATTGCCACCCAGAAAAGCAGAAGCTCGACCGCAACCGGATCAATGTCGCCAGTCTAGCACAAATACTTTCATTGAAAGTTGTGCTTTGGCTAATGTTCGACAAAAAGACTCAAGACCAGACTTGTGATGAGAATCTCCTGACTCTAGCACAATCTATAAATCGAGTCTGGATATCATCCAAGCTAAAAGCCACCGAGAACGACATTCCCAGATTCGAAGACGACCTTTTGCTTCAGACATCGCTGGCCAATATCTTCGGAAAACACGATCACCCAGAGAAAAACGCACTGAACGTTATCCTGCCTTCATTCGAGACGATGTGGCGTATCGTGTTACGGGCGTTCATAGAAATCAGGTTCGCGACTGGCAAAGAAGTACCTGCGTGGCGGGAGACAATGATTGCTTTTGCTGAGAAGCCCACCAAGAGCCAATTCGACGCAGGCCCCCCGCCTAGTCTCTCCAGACCTGAATCTAGCAATGACCCCAGCATGGGCGATATAACTGGTGTTCAGAGTTCGCCTAGTGCGAATTACATAGTCCGTGAATCGCTCCGACTATACGTGCCTACGAGACATGTACATCGAGCGTACCAGTGGGACCAGGGTATGGGAACATCTCATGAAATAATATCCGCTGATATTGAGGGATGTCATATGAGGTCTGATATTTGGGGTACTGATGCAGAGCGATTCAACCCGAATCGCTGGTCTGTTCTTACGCCAGCGCAGGGAGATGCTTTCATGCCTTTTGGATGTCCCCCTTTTGAATGTCCCGCCAAGCCAACTTTCGGGCCGAGGATGATGGGGGTCTTGGTTGGTTCTTTGTTGATGGCCGTTGAGAGCAAAGAGCAATCAGGGACTTGGACTTTGGATTGTGAGGATGGGGTAGTGTTGGGACACCTCTCGTCTGGGAAAAAGTTATGCCCGCATAGGAATGCCTATACGGATTTGTATCTAGTACGGTCTTTGGAAAGTCAAGAGTGAATAGAGATATCTATGGGAATCTCTTAGAAGAAAAAATACATCTTTAGTTATGAGTGAAGCAAACACAGGCCTGAGATATCAGACACTCATAGAGCTGTAGATGTAGTTCAAGAATAAGCACATTACCGAAGTGATGGCCTTTTGCCAGAGGATTTATAGTCAAAAGAACCTAGACACCTAGGAAGCATGGAATAATGTACATCGAACACGATCAAGAAAAACTACCAACAAAAGCCAATGACAAGGCAAGCACGAGCAGAACGTATGTATATGGTGTAAAGGAAGGTGATGATGGAATAACCACAGTTTGGCGTGGTATTAATTCACAAGATCGTGGTCTTTCCACCTACTGTTCCTGGCCAACTTGATGTCGCGCTAGCGTCGACGCTACGCCTACCCTGCTGTTGCCCCATGGCAAAGCATTCGTCAGAACCGTCTACTCGTGACGCTGACAGCGATGGGGACATGGGATATAAAAATTTCAGTCGCACGGACAGCTTGAGCCTGATTTAAGTGATTAGTGCTCCACGAGACCCTACTGAAATTAGGCATGCGTGGGAGAGAAACATCCCCCAGAATATGAGCATCAAGTATAAGGAACTGAAATACATTCTTCATCCCGACAAGTATTCGGATCCGGAGGAGAAGAAAAATGCAGGTTGTGCTTTTCAATGTAAGCTACTATAAACCACCTGACGGGCATTTACTGACGCTTATTAATCGAGTTCTAGTTCCAAGGTTAACTAGTGGTGCAGTGGGTCGAAAAAGAGTCTGTGCGACTGTTCCTATAGACTCGAGGCTGATATGACTTTAAGCATTCCCGAGAGAGCCCATCCAGTAAGGTGTTGCTATCGGCGGACTTCAACATCCCCTTAAAGTCTGCAAGTAATATATCGAGATTCCTATCGAGTAGGAGATTCCGAAGGTCTATATCACAGTGAATGACACGTTTTCTATGGATATAACTAATTGCTTCGGTAGCTTGTTTACAGTAGAGTAGCCTCCTATCGAGAGGTATAAACGACTATGGTGTGAGATAGTCATTTAAAGAACCATTTGATATGCGCTGTAGGACGAGACCATTTTCTATCAGGCCTTTTAAGGCGATAATACGGGATGGCTTCTAAGGACCTTAAGAAGCTGGGCCTCTATCCGAATGCTCTCGTAGTCTAGGAATATATGGATATTTCAAGACCGTAAACTCATCAATGGCGACGGAACATTCGCCACCACGACCGGGCACTTCGATGATTTCAATATGGGATATAGTATCTGTATGTTCATTATAGCAATCCTACAACAATCAGCAACAACGAAGTCAACAAACGCCCCTTATGACTTACAATTGCTGATGTTTGTGGAGAAGACATATTATACGCTTCAGAGTCACTAGTATGCTGTATCCGACCTCGCAAGGCCTTGAATATTGAACTAAATACGATATCTAAGGGGTACAACATAGCTTGGAACAGATGAAGAGTGCGGGAAGAAATAATCCGTAGGATAGATGACATGTTGCGAAGACGAGATGTGGAGGAGCCTTGGTGCCCTAATACACTAAAGGGGTGACTTATGCAACCACGCAAACTATTCCAACTGATATTCTGACTAACCCATGCATTCTCCCGAGGTCAGTTACCGCTTCCGCTTCATGTGTGCAGGGTGACGCCAATCAGAAGCGGCGTCACCCTCCTGCTCATCCTGGCGACACACCGAAGTATTGATTGAGCTTAAGCCGTGACAGATAGGTACGAGGGAAAGGCCCTCTCATTTCTAGCTAAAATTGGAGCCGAGGAAGGTGGAGGTAGAGGACTATACACAACCACGCACGGGCATGTAGTGGCCCGATATTGAATATCGACCTCATTCCCACGAATATTACATAGCCACTCTATGACGTAGACACAGAAGTCGACCAAACTTCAACCGACCTATTCAACCCAGTCCAGACCCATCTATAACCAGCGGCTTAGAAATATCAACAGAATTAGCCTCTGCCGACATCTCCTCAGCCCATGACTGACACGTATCCCCATCTCCCGGCACCGAGCCCGCGGTGTCTGAGCCAGCACAAGCACCTAACACTTCATCAACGTTTACAGCCCGCGTAAGATGCGAGCCACAATCAACCTTGACCCTAATCCGCGAGCCCATGAAGCTCAGATTGTTGAACATGGTCACAGCGCACTGGGCTTCGTCTGCTGTTTGCATCTTGATCAAGCCACGGAGCCGGCCATTACCATCGGCCGAGTCTGTAGATACTATGCTGCATTTCTGGACAGTACCGGCTGTTTGTAGAAGGGTTTTTAGGTCGGCGCATGTAGTTGCAACGTTCAAGTTCTCGATGGTGATGGCTTGCCGGTTTGGATAGAAAGACGGAGAGCTGGGATTCGTGCCTTTGGCGGAAGATCCGCGTTGCTGGTAGTGCTGGTAGGGCTGTGGGGGATTATCGCTTGTGTGCATGTGTTGTGAAGGGGGCATCGGATAGCCTGGCATCATGTTCCACGGCTCGTACATTGCGTTCATTACTGGGGATGGGGGGAAACACTGTATCGGTGGTGCGTGTGGATCTTGCATCATAGGCATGAAGCCTTGAGGCGGCATTGGCATGGGTACGATCATGACGCCGTACTCTGGGTATGGATATGGTGGAGCGGTGGGATGGGGTGATCTGGCGAGGGGAATTAGCTGGTTCCATATTTCATATCCGGGAATGTGGTAAACTCACTCTGGTGAGACGGGTGACGGGGGCATTGCCATGTTTCCATGCACTAATGGAGGTGTGGACTGGCCAGAGATGTAGCCTGGCATCATTGCTGGGCTTCTGGTAGGCCCGGCAATGGGCTTAGTGGGCGTACTGGTCCGCGATAGTGTGACGACCAGGCTCTGGCCGTCCCATCCGCAGGTCGAGAGTCGATCTGTGGGGTATTAGGGCGGAGCATTGAGGATTCGGGACACAAATACATACGGTATGTTCGCCAGGCCTCGTCTTCGTTTTTGACGATGATTTGGCCGAGTCCGGTGGGGAATCCATGGCTATCATCGTATACTACTGCTTGACGAATATGCAGTGCAGTTTGGCGAACGAGATCCTTGAGTTCTTGCCAGCGGCAATGAGGTGGGATCTAGAATTTATGTTAGTCCTTGAATGCATTTGACATACTCCATGTCAGACTCACGCCTTGAAGGAATACCACAAACTCATCGTCCGACCTGCGAGATCTGGGACGAGCTTTATCACGGCCGAGAAGAGGCATGACTGCAGAAACCCCAAGACAATACACCCCGGTATTTCCGTTCCAAAAGCGCACTAGCTCGGAAACGGATTTAAACGGAGGATAGATGTCGATGCTTGTAAATATCCCGGTCCGTCGGCGTTGCAAAATAGTCGGGGCTCGTTGTCCGACCAGGTGTTCGGTTGAGTCCAGAACTTAAACAATTGTACTCTGCCAGAGGCCCGCGTTAGCTCAGAGTATATAAATATGGTGAAACCTTTGAATTCCCACTCTGCTTGGGCTGAGACGACTACACGAACGACATCACCAAGCATCAAGGTGCAATCAATGTGCAATACCTGGGAATCAAATCGCACAAGCCTACCTTTTCTTTTTTTTTCCTGTCGGATAAATGCAAGTCAACGAATTGGTCTGACCGACAAACTGCAGGGAAAAGAGATAAACCCCTCCACGAGCTGGACGAAGGTCGAGCAGATTATAAAACCCTGGAACCAAAAAGAGGAAGTGTCAATGGTTTCACAGAAATAGTTATGATGATATATGAGATGGTCAATCAATTTCCTACTGGTAATAATCTATAGTCTCATGGCTTGCAAGTAGAAATCACGGGGACCCAGAATACTGTACAATTTGGACGAATAGCGAGGCCAGTCGATCAGTAGTAGCCAGTTATATCAGAGGACAAGCAGTTCCATTTCTCCTTCTGGCTGAGATATGTCATTTTCACCATGAGCTCAGCTCTGCCAAATATTCGAATGCAATAGAGTGGTTCTACAGTCCCACCTCCCGGGTATAGTTCCACTTAAGGTGTATCAGTGGCTGTAATATGCCCTCTCCCCCCTCCTTTGCTATTAATATTTAAATAATAAACTCCATCAAGTACCGGGCATATCCGTGCACAGAGGCAAATCACTTCAAAAGATGGGCTTACCTGACTAAATACGGGGAATGGAGTGTTACACCGCTAGATCCGGATAGGACATGCAGAGTGGACATGCAGATTGGACATGCAGATTGGACATGCAGATTGGACATGCAGATTGGACATGCAGATTGGACATGCAGATTGGACCTGTATCCATCACATTGGCTTCTGTGTCTTATTGTCAGATTGAAACCTTTGAAAAAAAGCAAAAAAAAGCAAAGAATGGACAGAAATGAAAGAAAAAGAAATGATTCTAAGAGATCTTCGATCAGAGCGGGACCATGAGCAGTCATATCTTGCAGCTATTGATTTTTCCTAGTCAATTACATCGACTATTGATTTCTATGCGTATTTTTCTTAACTTGAGTACCTGCAGGTAAATATGAGAAGTTAGGATTATTAAGGGTCAGATTCATTGCCCTAATTCTTGTGTGCATATACCTCCCTAGAGAGTCACACTGCAGGTCCCAGCTAGCCATCAGGTATGTGGAATACTCGTGTACTTAACATCCTACCTATATCGTACATGTCTACAGCTACTTGTTAGAATATGCAAAATTGTCTCACAGATCTTCAAATAGATCTTCATCTGTGTTCCCTTTGATCAGGGCCAGACTGAGGGAATAGCTACAATAAACATGCGACAGGGCATGTGCGACTGTGAGAACGATATCAAGACAAATGACCATCCATATAGGGAAATACTTACGGAGTACATTCCAAGTATGTACGGTTCACACGGGGTGGGACGAAGCTGTGCTATGACGATACGACCAAAGCACTGGGCTCCAGGGGAGATCAGATGGCCAATATGCATATCTACAGCCTCTTTTACTGGCGAATTGTCGAAAATGCGCTCTGAATCATGTTCGGTTCTCATGTTAATCGTAAATTATTCTCCCACGGGGTCTTGAATTCCCCACCAAATGCAGGTGATCAGGTTTATCTGCACGGAGTACGGGGTCTACTAAATATCCACTATCTACTTATATGTTATATTCTAAACAGAACGATGAAGTGAAGTGTTCTAATTCGATGTATGAAAAAGTGATATCAGACAGTGTGGCTTGAAACAGATGAGATAGGAACCTGGTGGGCGATCGCTGAAGAGTGAAAGAAACCAAAGCAACAGCCCCAAGAACATAATACAAAATGCATAAAGGGAAAATGTAAACTGCATTGCCGCTTATGATGTTGTTGAGCTCAACAGAACCCATGTGCCTGGCGAATCAACAAGAATCCAATATGCAACATAAGTTGTGTATGATCAATGCCGACCGAGTGGAAAGCCAAATGCGATGATCTCCCAAGCGCACCTCGGTCGGAAGTCCCGTGGTTCTTGCAAGAACCACTAATTCCCAGACTGCTATCCTCGGTGTCTCAGACAAGAAAATCCAGTTGACCAAAGCCAGTGTAATCCTCCATAAACCTCGGTATTCTTAAATCGCAATCAATGAAGAGCAGGCGGTGCCAGCACAGCCCACAAAGTATCACAGGAAGTCTCGAACCGGTGTCCGAGGCGAAGTCGAAAACGAAGGAAAGTATCGAAGAGACGGGATAGAATGGTGTCCCATTCGGAAAGGAAGTCGCATCTGCCCTCGCGACGGGGGGAACGATATTTTGTTGGTTTGAAAGTCGGTTTTTTGATGTTGATCCGGTCAACCATAGACTCCCCAGATCCTCCAGTCTATTTCGTTTTGGGTTTTGGCTTTGGTTTCGGGTTTATTGTGGTTTGGATATTGTTCTCGTTTTCATCCTCCGAAGCCGACTTTGTTTGCGCAGCGACTGCAGTAGTAGGAGTTCATGCCGAATTGAACGACGCTGCAGCCTGATTGGCCTAGGCTGAGAGATTGTTGGCAGCGGGAACATCGGACGATGTCGAGAGTCTGTGGAGAAGTGGCCTCAGATGGACGAGTAACGCCGCCAGTCTGGGGTTGAGGAGTAATTTGCACAGGAGAGCTCATTTTTGGTGAATTTGACCCCGAGTGAGGATCTGAAGGGGGGCAGGGGGGGCAACGCATGTTTTTGAGTTGACCCGATTGAGCGGTTGAGCCCCGTGATCTCTGGATTTACCCCAGTTTTTTTTCAAGTGATGATGTTTTGAGTTGACAACCTTGGAAGAAAGGGATAGAGATATGAAACAGGGAAATATCCAGCTTTTTAAATTGTTTCCAATGATTACCCTAATCCTCCCTATCCTACGGCGACTCCGTATCCCCCCTGTCTCTTGCCAATCATACATGTCGGCCTACGTATGGGCTGCTTTTAGGCGCTCATTCCAATAATTCTGCTACCTAAACCTATCGGACATGACCTTAAACGCATTCTCTTTTTTTCCCCTAATCTCGTAGGAATTTCGGCATTTTCAAGTACAATCGTATATCCTTGATTATTGACCTTCGGAAAACTAGAATATGGGTCTCGGCAGTAAGAGGTACTATATTGTAGACGAGCATAAATTATCCCCCCACTCGATCCAAAACCAAACTAGATCAGAAAGGGGAATCCTGTGAGAGACGCTATCATGTACATTTACGTAGGTGTGCGTCTTGGGCTTCGCGCCGACACCCTAATATTTAGCCTTATAGAATGTACTTTCCATTTTTCGTCTTTAAAAGTAGGATATCTTAAAATATACAGATTTATATGTTCAAACTGTTTAGACTGAATTAATCTTCGAAATGAAGATCCTGAGGTCATCTTCTTATCTCCCGAATGTTGCCCTGGACGGCACGATGCTTACATTCCAAAGTTAGAAACCACCTAGGCATGCAGCTAGCCTAGTTTAGATCGGTTTAGATGAAGCCAGAGAGGAAGTCGAATAAGGTGTGGCACTTGGAAGGGAAGCCGATATCTGGATGAACTCATTGGACAATCGAAACATCGCACTTGGGCGAAACCCATGGATTCCGCGAATAGAACCGTGGACACGAGCAGATTCGCCAGCGACGTCATATTCCCTCAATCCGGCACCTCTTCTCTTCTCTCCCTCCTAACTTGCTACGTTGACACCACTTATTAAATTGATCCCTATCTCTGAACTTAGGCCAAAGCCAAAAAGCGTTTAGATCTCGGCCACTGCCCCGCCAAAAATATCTCCTGCCCCTCATTCTTGTACCACCAACACATCACCATGGCCACCGGACACCCCAACCTTCACAGCTTTCCCAACTCCGATGAACTAGCTGCGCAATTGCGAGGCTACGTCCTCCGCTGCCAGAACTCTGCTTTTTCCCGGCACGGCACCTTCCGCCTCGCCGTCTCCGGCGGCTCCCTGCCCACCATTCTCGCGAAAGCCCTCCTCGCCACCAGCAATGGCTCCCCGGAAGATACCCCCAAATTCTCCAAGTGGCACATCTTCTTCGCCGATGAGCGCGCCGTACCGCTCAACCACGAGGAGAGCAACTACCGCCTACTGAATGACGAGCTCGTGTCTAAGATCCCCGCCGAGCTCGGCTCGCCTGTCGTCCACGTCATCGACGAGAAGCACATTGGCGATGACGATCCCCAGGAATTGGCAGATCTCTACCAGGAGGACCTGATGCGCGAGTTTGCCGCCAAAGACAGTATCAAATTGCCCGCCTTCGATCTCATCCTCCTGGGCTGCGGCCCCGATGGTCACACCTGCTCCCTCTTCCCTGGTCACGCTCTGCTCCGCGAGAAGGATGCTTGGGTTGCTGCTGAAACCAACTCCCCTAAGCCCCCGCCTAAGCGCATCACCCTCACCCTGCCTGTTGTTACCCACGCTATCAGCATTGCCTTTGTCGCGACGGGCGGCGGCAAGAAGGAAATCCTTAAGCAGATCTTTGATCTTGAGGAGGGCTCGAGTCTTCCTTCGGCTCTGGTTAACCAGGGTGCTGGTGATAAGGTGACCTGGTTCACTGATCACCCAGCAGTGGATGGTGTTTCATTCCCTCGTCGCGGAAGTCTTTGAGGCGTGAGATCGCCTAGATGGATCTGAGATATATGGATGAGGGAATGACTTCTCCTAGTTCGCAACGCTCGATCTGCCTTGTGTGGCATTGAATCCGCTGGGTGCGATGAAAAGTGATGTTCTGCTTTATTGCTAGGACCGGTAGACCAAACTTAGCATAGAATTATTTTTCTTCCATCTAACTATTCATGAACCCGTACAAAGTAAGCTATCTCTTTTGAAGATATGGCCCAAACTTGGAATGACCTAGTCTTCGTGTCACTAGCTCTTTTCTGATTGATGTCCTTTCAGATCTTTCTAGTTGGAATGGTGCAAATAATCTCTTCAAACAAGTCTTGAGACAACACATGAGCAACCGACAGCTCTCCAGGACATTGTTGGCGGTCCATGGCGACGGTGTTATCAGAGCCGGCAGCGACACTTGTACTGTCTAACCCACTGACACTCCCAGGGTCTCATCATCTCTCTGAGAACAGACAGCTAAGTTCATGGTATTTCTCCCCTTTTGCTTTGCTAACCAAAGCATGTTCTCCAGACGAGGAAATATGTAATGGATAATCTGTAAATCAACAGCCTTTGGATACTGCAAAATAGGGGAACACAGCAAAGCTGACTGATGGCAGCAAAGAAACATTGCATAGTGACCACAATGGCATTCACCGATATCGGAATTGCAGAATCCATATTTATCGGGGCAGCACTTTTGAGGATCTTTAGCGGCGCATTGCTTCACGGTACATGCCCTCTTGTCTAGCTCAGCAGGCGCAGCGGCCATAAGCATAGCGAGACAGAGGACTAGAGCGATGGAATGGAGATGGACTTCATTTTGATGGAGTCTTCGGTAGAAGATTGGACTGGATAAACTGAGTTGCGATCAAGATAGATTCCTGTAGCAAGATAGAAGGCTATATTTATATATTCCTGGATACTACTCATTCTGAATGAGGTGTGTGGTGTGTGTATCATATCGGTGCCATTCCTGAGCCGGAGACAACTATTGGGAAGGCAATATAAAGGAGACCAGACATATGATCAGCATTGGACATCCCAATCCATGAATCGTACTCTATTCAGCTGAGGGGTGGTGTCGAATCATGTCGTAGGCTTGAAATTCCTTTCTCGTCGCCTGGGTTTGAAAGTTTGTTCGTCACTGACTCATGCGGGATTTATGCACCTGGGCAGGTTACCTAGGTACATATCCAAATTCGGCTTTAGAAGTGCTTATGGTAGGGCTATCCGAAGACAAGCTCTGATTGGTAGAGACGGTCTTGATCCCTTATGCGAAGCCCCTTACATTATGTCGATTGTCCAACCACGAGCGTACTCGAGAACCCGTTGAGGTTTGCCTCAGCCTTCCGTCTTCCGTACCACCCCAGAATTTAAGCATAGAGATCCTGTTTAATCCCTAAGAGCACTAATGGTACTTTTTTTTGAGCACTATATAGAGTGAGTCTCTATCCAGTCCGATCCAACCGCACCCGTACGCATAGCTAAACTAGATGGAAATATTAAGACGATATTGTATAGCTTCAAGTGGTAACAATGGTGGCTAACTGTACTAGCCGTTGTACAATATTTGAGACGCATGAAGCTATGTAGAAGACTTGTACATGAGCCGGGTGTCTCTGCTCCGTGGTTAAATGGCGGACTCTGGACTTTAGCCAAAACATTTGTAAGGTCGCTTGGTGGCTGAAACGGGTGGCCTGACGAGGTGCCTATGTACTCCGCAGCTAGAAAGGGGCCAGAAATTCCTATGAGTTCAAGTTAGAAGATCAAAGACCCATGTTATACACTATCGAATTGCCTTACCTAGATAGCATCAAGAGTACATACCTAAACTAAAAGCATGAGGTAATTCATTGATGAGATGGATACATGGATACCTCGGAAATCCTTATTGGACTATTTTAAGGTCTCTATTTTGCCCTATGGATAGACACAAAGTACTAGTGCAGACAGCGTACATATGCCAAGGACTCGGTTTTGGGTGGTATGAGGCGCTCAGCGCAGTCCAGGCGGGTCGATCTCCCGTTTTTATCCCCCCCAAACAAATGCATGCAACCCCAGATATTCCTTATGTTCTGACCATCGACTACAGTTCAGCCTAACGGTCTCCTTAATAGTTTGGGCAATCATCAATGTAAACTATCTTAGGCCGTGTGGAAAAAATGAGAAATGTGTGTTGGATATGGAGCATTTCAGACTATCTAGACGATGGCTGTAACGCCTATCACTTGACCGCTAGGTACAACAAAGAACAACAAACGACTTAATGCCAGTCAAATAACAAAAAGACATAAAAGACACAGCCAATCATAGTCTTCTATTCCCATACGTGTCCATACAGAAAGCTCGATCAGTCAATACAAAATCAAGCCGAGACCCGTGGACCCCAGCGCCGTTTTGGCTGTCAACATTGTATTGTACTCTTTTCTCCATCACATTGTGCTACGACTAGCTGTTCGCGCATTTCCGAAGGCAGTACTGGTCGCTCTATTATTATTAAATAGCATTAGCCCAAATATCAAAGGAATGGAAGCGAAATGAACTCACTCCACCATCAATCTTGCAGAGTGTGTAGCAGTTGTTGGTCTGCACAGAGCTCTCCCCGCCTTTGTCAGCTTCAATGGGCGAGGCAAACGCCAGGCCAAGGATAGTTGCAAGGGCCAAAATGGAGAAACGCATTTTGAAGTCTTTGGATAGGTAGTTGGGCTTCTGGTGGAAATGACCTTTTGAGGATTTGATAAAGTGATGCTTGTTTGTTGAGATACACTGGAGGTGAAGTGCTTGCCTTTTATAGTAGATTCACCATTGTATATATGATATCAGGCGCTCCATTTATCCCCTTTTGGGTAGTGGGAGGCTCCGCCCCCACGACTCGTGTAGGCTTATGTGCATGACCATATCATGTAGGGAGAATCCTCATGAATGCTCACTCGTATTCCAAAAATGCCAAGATTGATCTACACGGAGATCCTGCTGTTTGCGTAAAGACTTGCAAGTTCTATGAGCCTTTTTCAGCTCGAAGGCATTAGTGTCAGCTGATTCAAGTCCTGCAATGTAACCTCAAATTGCAAAATAGCAATGTGTACTCTGTAGTGTTGGCATATTATGCGTCCAGACCTAAGGATCTGCAACCTATTACTCCTCTTGGGGGAAGGATCAAGATTGAATCAGCCCTATATAAAGCTCGATGCCCGCGCGGGATAAACCCAATTCCTCAGCAGTGCATCCCTTCTACATTACCACCTCAGAACTCACAAATAATTTCGATCGATTTGTCCAGATCAATTCCTCAAACATGAAGCTGTTTATTGTTCTTTTTGCACTAGCTGCCTACGCAATGGCCGAAGCCAGTCCGAATCTGGAAGCGAGAGCTGGGTGCTCCCAGAGGGGACAATATTGCAACGGCGGCACATTCCTGTGCTGCCCCGGACAAGGGAGCTGTAGTGGAAATGTGGTAAGTCTGTCAACTTCTCTTTTTAATAGAAACAGATATGGCCAAATATGGCAGCAGATGGCTAAAAAGAAATATAGTGCAAGTGAGCCGCCATCTACTAGGGGGTGCAGAGGTCGCCTTAGGGTTACGAGGTCCCACATATTGGAGTGTCAGGGCTGTCTCTTTGGTCTCATTGGGGTACTCCAGGCAGTTTGTTGCCGCTTCCATCCGAAATGAAAGCAAACAATTCGATGAGAATTTACTATGTCCTGTTAGTGTAAGTCTTCACTCAATGCCTAGGTGAAGCGAGCTCGAATTAGTAATTTGGCCGTTGAACCGGGACTTCCACACCAAACTCGATAGTAGCGGAATCTGTTCCAATCCACAGTAGATAAGAATACTAGGCCGGCCTCTGTCCATAATGACATTATCTGTTGACTTGATCTAGATGATAGTGGGAGGATCTATCATAGCAACACCCTAGCCAGGCACCCTAAGGGCATTGATACTTGGGCGACCTAAAATAGCAAAGAGGATATGTCAATTTTGATTGCTGAGCAAGATGGCAGCATATCTAAAGGCCAGAATGCGTAAAAAATGTAAAACGACTTTTCCATGTATAACGTCGGAGTGGTACATTAACGTTTAATAGCAAGTACGACAGAGCAAGTAAAATGTTCCCTTGATTTTAGATAGATATAACCCCGGTTGTTGATCCAACCTATGGTTGGGCTTGTGAACATATTTCCCATAGACATGCTTATCCCGTGTGAGTAACCTATTCGCCAACATCACCACCAGCTGGGCCCTTAATCTGCCCTAGCCCGGCATCAAGCTGGCTTCCATAGAATTAGGTCATTAGACTAAGCATTTATCAGAAAAATTTACTTACCCCTGGTGAAATGCGGAGGAGAGCAGCTATTGAATAGACTTCTGAACGGTGCTCAGTTCCAACTCTTCATATCATGATGTGCTACCTACATGCTTATATAGGTAGCAGATCTCCTTAGTAAAGGGACCAGACACTGTATCAGCAGACCCGTGAGATTTGCCTAGAGCAGTTCGCTATAGTACGTCCCATTCTAGACTTGATGTTGGTGCAGCATGTTCAATGAGTAGATATTCTGGTCAACAAGGCTACTGAGTATCGAGCTCACTGTTGTCATTTAAATACCAAGCAAACATTTAGACATCAATATAGAACTATTGTTTGCCCATCAAGCAGAACACCAAGTCTTCGGCTGGGGGACTTGACTCGCGCCATTTCAGTTGAGATCGAGTCCATCATTCGAGTTTTACCGTCAACGAACTATCTCCACCACAACCAACCAACCTCACTTGATCTGGCCGTTTCGAAAGCTTCGTTGAGTAAGTATTACATCCCAAAAGGAATTTCCACTATTAACAAAACACAGTAGGATGGGCGAACGCGTTCCGCCAACCTTCCGTCCGAACGCTATGAGGCCGGACTGCGACATCACGGGTCCGGCGAACCCTAACCACATCAACTTGAGTTCGGACGCTGGTACCAATGCACTGCTGGTAGACATTCGATTCGATGGCATGAAGTCGGACACTGGAGTAATTGATTTCGCTGCGAACGTCAATTTGATCGACCCCTACTCGGACATCAATGTGACTCGTGGTCCCAGGATGGATCCCGAAGTCCGATGCGACCCTCCCAGGTGCATTCTTAGTTACGATGTCGACATGATCAAATTTCATTCGGACAATGGGGCTGCCGGTCTGACGGCCGACGTCGTTGCGATTGACGAGAGCTCCATACCCCATGATAACATTGAGGCTACCCAGTCGAACTCGGGCGCTGAAGCCGGAGCTGTGGCTTCCATCCCCCGGGATGCCGTGAATGTCACAAAGGCGAGCTCGAAGTCCAAAACCACCAGCGTGGGCTCTGTTCCACCCAATACCGTGTAAGTAACATACGCCGAATGCGTTCCGTGGACACGAGGTCTGGTCAGGCAGCTACTGACACGGACGCCATGGTTTCCACTGCTTTGAACTATACTAATACTAGCTGCGTTATATTAGCAACTCCTGGTCCTTTGCGCTTGCCGCCGGATTGTGTAGTAGGCTGGCGGCCATCAAACTGCAACAAACTGGCTGGGAATGGTCCTCCGGGACGTCCAACCTACCCCAATGGTTTCTGGCTGCTCCAGGTCAGCCTTGGATAGTCGCCAAGGAGACAAAGATGATAAAGAAGGGCGTGACCATCATGGGATGGCTGCGTTGCGGCTTGTACCTTTTTTTCCGCACAGACTCGAGAGATTTGCTTGGAGGAGAGATCACGGATTTGACTGCATACCATGAGCCTAACGGTTCACACAGGATCATGAGAATGGACTTTGCTGCTTGGAACGACCTGAGTTTCTACGCCATGGCCTCATTGGAGGATCACGAAGCTCTGGTCACTGGGCACCATCTTGGCTATTTGGCGGTTTGGGATGTCCGAAGAGGGTGAGTGTTCAATATTTGCTGTATGATGCCAATCAGCACTGACTTCTATTAGTCATATCATCTATTCGCTCCGGGGCCTTCATTACACTGTTTCCTGCATTGTGGCAGAGAAGGACATCATCGTTGCTGGTAGCTTTGATGGCACCATTTGTGTCTGGGACATCACCAGGAGCAACAACCTTCATGCCTTACAAACCCTTAAAGGACACGCAGGCGCTGTGCTGTGTCTGAAGCTGCATGACAAGTACCTTGTCTCTGGTGGTGAGGATCGGGATGCTCGCGTCTGGGACATTGAAACAGGCGAATGCAAGCATGTGCTCCAAGGCCACGAGAAGGCAGTTCGGTTCGTATGCATGAGCGAGCATGCAATTGTCACTGCTGGCACGGATGATATCCACTACTCAAAATCGGAGATCCTCATATGGCTGAAAAACACTGAAGAATTTACGGCTGGGTATGTTGAATCTGGAATCTCATCATTTCAAGATCAGAAACTAACAATAACGATAGTCGATGCAATTTCGGGTCCAGAGGCAGCGAATTGGTGAACCATCTCCACCTGGTGGGAAACGACTTAATTGCAGCAGGGGACTATGGATCCGTCGTGAAGTGGGATGTGACCAGTGGACAAAGGTTGGTTCTCTACCGCCAGGACTTTGATGGGGTCGTTGCTCTGGCCACCTCGGAGAAGTTCGTGATGGTTGGCAAGAAAGCCGGCGACTTGTATCTGCTGGATCAGGTGACTATGCATCGTGTCCGCCTCATGGACTTTGCATCAGAAATCTGGAAGGTCGGGATCCTGGATGGCTCGCGGGTTATCGCTGCATACAAGCAGGATGGTCATGCCTACTTGACCATCTGGCATGTATGATGATGCTTTTGACGGCATTAATGAGCATAAATAGCAATGGGGGTTGGAGGGTTAATGGGGGTGCCTTCAACAGGCATGCTTGCTCGACGGGTAATTATGGATGTTATTCACTTTTGATTTTCAACAAATCCAAACAGTATCTTTATGAATTTTCTTTTTTCTTTTTTCAAACAATCCAATGATAAATCCGGAGTGGGCTGGATAGTATTAAGATATCTGAGACAGCTATTATGTACTGTACTGTAGTGTAGTGGTCATCACTGGTTTTTGAGATTATCGGATCATTGGAAATACCAGAAACCCCGGGCAGGACCTTTCTTTGTTCTCTTTTTATTTTTTTATATACGGACGTATTGGATGTTCCTTTTTAACTGATTTAATTAATCTTAGGCAAATTACTACCTATGGAGGTGTAGCTTGGGGACCAAGATCGAAAAGTAGAGGTATAGAATAAAAGAGTGGGTTACCATAAGGAAGATCGCACACCTCCCAGCACCTCCCCGACTCTCCATTAACAACAAAGCACCCTTCCAAGGTTGACCCAATCCACCATGCCGAGTTTCATGTGATGACCTTGTACGATCATGCCCATCCCAACACGTTCGGCTTCGCTGCGCGATCCCCGTAAACAAGTCAGTCTTCCGTTTGTTTATCCCCTGTCAAGCTCCCCACACCTGTCGCATGCTTCACTGTGCCACCATTGCCATGCCAACAACTACATGCAGAAGCCATGCTAATTACTAAAGACCTCGAATATAGCACGACCTGCCACGAAATCCTCCACTCCACTACCCGCCGCGGCCAGCCCGAGCAAGGACTCTGTCCGAGAGACGAATAACAAGAACCGCTCACCGTCAAATCCCTCGCCGGTCGAGGGTGTGCCTCCGAAAGACAATGGACTCACTGCCCGAGGAAGAACTCTACTCCCCCAGCGCAGTAATCCTGCCCAAGACAATGGTTGTGGAACGGGACATGGGCGCATTCAGCCAACCAGCAGCAAGCCGAAACCACGCGGGGACCCGTCACCAACTAGACAGCGAGAGATATCGCCGGCTAGAAAACAATTACAGACGCATTCCACAGCAACGAAGACCGCGGTAGCACCCAGCCGTCGTCAAAGCATCATACGACCTGGTGCGTTGAAGATGCCTTCAGCGAAGATTACAGCTCCTTCGTCAAAGAGCTCAGCACCATCATTCGCGCCGCCCTCACCCCAAAAAGCTCCAGGAAGGCAATCCCCGGTCAAACCTCCTACGATCAGAAGGCCCCCTTCACCCAAGAAAACAGAGATGCTACCCCCACCACGCCCCACACGGTCCTACTCTTTGAGGCAACCTGTCAGCGCTAGCAAGGAATCACCCGCAGCAACCAAACTCCATGCGCGGCACAGGAGCCAGCTGGTACAGAATACAAAGCAAGCCGAAACAACCCCAACAATCGGCCAACGTGCACGAACACTCTCAACCTACCAACGGCCATCGTCCCCTAAGAAATTCTCCAAACCCCCAACACCTACCCCTGGAGCCGAAGCTCAGCCTGGGGATATGCTGATCCCTTCATCGTGGCCAGATATCGCAGCACTGCAAACTGAACTTCTTCAGCTCAGTCTTTTCCATTCTAACTCGCTGCAAAGCCATGCTGAATGGAAGTCTGATTCTGAGTCACGTCTACGCAAAAAGTACGACAGTGTCGCTAGCCAATATCGCTTTGTACTGGCAGATGAAACGCAGCAGCAGTGTCACCTGAATGCGCAGGCCCTAGGGCTTTGGCTTTCCAACTGTAATGAACATCGCGGTCCGCATGGTTTCTCCGAGCAGGTTCAAATTCTCTCCCGGGTCCTCCAAGATGTTTCAGATATGATTGCTGGCAGCCGGGGTGCACAATACTCTCAGGCTGTGAAGACCTTTGAAGAATGGCTTAACCAAGCGGAGCTTATTCGCCATAACCGTGGAACAGGGTGTGTTGATGCCGGTGCCTTTATTGACCCCCTGGCGCGAAGCTGGAAAGAATCGCTGCATACTTTAAATGTGAGACTAGAGCTCTGCGGTCGCGAATTGCAAGTCCTCGATATCCTGGGGTTCGGGCAAGTGGAGCGTCTAGAACAGTCTGCTCTTGCTAGAGTGGCCAGGAATCTAGCTGAATTGATACAGCTTATGACGCAGGAGATTTGTGCTATGGAAACATTGGAGAAAGAAGTGGTGCGTTCGGAAAGAGATTCTGTCAGCCGTCTTGCGACGCAACTAGCAGGCTCTATAAGGGAAACGAGGGCGCCCCGAGTCGGTGCATGGAGAAGCTAGTCTGCGGTTTATATATCTTGCGAATATCCATAGCTAGTTTTCAAATGCCTGTACATATATGCGCGTACTATGGAAATAAAAAGAAAATGAAGATAATATGAAGAGTGTTAATGGATATGAGGGATATGTGATAGTACTTCACCCAAAGTACCTTGCGGCCAACCATAGCTTGCGCGGTACCTAATCTGAGGTAAATTGATGAGTCATCTACGTCATCCCACCATCCATGGGCAACTTGACCTGAGGACTTCCAGATATGGTCTAGATCTTGGAGTATCGGAACCCGCTCAGTTTCCCCTTATACTTTTATTTCTGTCTTCCTCACTCCATTGTCACTCGTGTCTTTCTGTACCATACAGATATCTATTGGAATGGGCTACTTTATACAGGGTGATGTAACCTTGCAAAAGTTAACTGTCTCTCAGCTCTCTTCTTGACGTCATCCACGGCAGCTTCCGTCTTGACAGATAAAAGCCACCCGCAAAGAAACAGTATCCACTTGCTCTGTACCTTTCCAGATGATCGCCGATCGTACCTAGCGAAGAATTTCAACTTTCTCGCCCGTCTAATCCAGTGACCATGAAAGACTCGCTCTATGATCGCCTTTGGCGCCGGGAATGTGGGGAACAGTTGCAGTATGCTGGGCTTCGGGGAATTTACGGATCCAACGAATGGATCAATGATCTCGACATTGTGAATGAACTCGGCGGGCATACTGGATGTGTCAATGCCCTCAGGTATGTCCATAGCACCGACCCAGGCCGAGGTACTTGGTTTATCGACTGGCCAACACTTCCGCCATTTCTGATGCTTGTCATGCTAACGGCCTGCAGTTGGTCGAAGTCAGGGCGTCTTTTGGCGTCAGGCTCTGATGATAGGCACCTCAATATCTACTCCTACCAACCCGACTCCTCCAATTCTCCATTCGCGCTCAATACCACCGTTTTCACCGGCCACAAAAGCAACATCTTCTCCGTCAAGTTTATGCCACACTCGAATGATGGGACTCTGGTTACATGTGCCGGCGACTCGCAGGTTCGCGTCTTCGATATCGAATACTCAACTAGGAGCAGAAATGATGCTGCCACCTCCGCATTTGCGGCCTCCACTCGGAGCCGGCGCTTCAATGAGTTCTTCAGTGGCACACGGTATCTGAGTGACGGTAATACCAACGCCAGACTGTATCGAAGCCACGCCGATAGTGTGAAGCGCATCGTCACCGAATCGTCTCCGTTCCTCTTTCTCACTTGCTCTGAGGATGGTGATGTCCGCCAGTGGGATCTGCGCCTACCATCTAGTGCATACCCTCCGCCACGGGATGGCCAGGGCTTCAGAGCATACCGACAACGGTTGGAACATGATAACCCGAATGTTCCACCCCCTTTAATCTCTTACAGGCCATACAAATTGGACCTCAATACCATTTCCTGTTCGCCAAGTCAGCCACATTATATTGCCTTGGGTGGTGCACACCTCTACTGCTTTTTGCATGACAGACGAATGCTTGGCCAGGACACCTCCGCTGCAAGGGGCAGGGCTACATCAAGCGCTGCTAGCCTCAATGATGATGAGGAGATGAGCAAGGCGACACGATGCGTGCGAAGATTCGCACCAGGCGGCAAGCACCCTGTGAAATATGATGATGGACACATCACTGCTTGTAAAATCAGTGATATGAACCCCAATGAGATGGTTGTTAGCTGGTCTGGGGATCATATCTACAGTTTTGATTTAGTCCGCAGCCCAGATGCCCGAGAGACACAGTCGGGCAATAAATCGACTCTGAAGGGCAAGAATAGACAGGTTCGCCGAAGTTCACGGAGCCGGAAGCGCAAGAAGCCCACAACACCTTCATCGCAGGAAAGTGGTGGCCGACATCAGTCCCATCGTCGCTCAGTAGCGCCAGATACTTTTAGGATCCAATACGAGAATGGCGAAGCAGAGGATGTTCCATTCCCCACATTGTCAGGTAGTGTCCTAGACACCAACCCCGAGCATTTGCTCGAGCAAGCTCGGTATTCTGTACTGAATGATGCCCAGCGGTTGAGCATGCGGATCGCAAAAGGGTTGGTAAAACTTCGAAAGTCGCTGTTCTCAGAAACGACAGTTCGGGAGGCCGCAGGGTCTGAGGACGTGGGACCCGAATCCTACTCGAGATGTTTTTCATCCGCCCTGGAAATTGCGTCTACGTTTCTCCCACAAATGGGTGATGTCATGCGCGAATGGAGCTATCCCATGAACCCATCGCAGGAGACTGTTAATTTCCAGCAATCACTTCGTCGCAATCGCCAATCTTCATGGAGATTTGTCCAAGCTGCTGGCACACTTGCTCATGCGTTGGCAGATCAAACGCAAGTTCCGGAAGAATCAAACTTCCAGATGATCAAGCCTGCACCGGGCGAAGATGACCCCATTGACCCAGCAAGCCAGTTCGGCTATGAATTCCTCCGAGCAATTCTTCTCTGGCTGCAAGGCGGCAGGCAACGTCTTCTAGAGGGATTTCAACGTCGCAACGCCCCTCGGCGATTACATTCCCGATTCCCAATCCCTGATGAATCCGAAGAGGATGCCATCGAAACAATCCTAGTGCCGTATATTATGGAATTGGCGCGTGACACTCCGATCGTGAATGTGGATGCCTCCAGGTTCGAGCATGACAGTACGCGCGTTCTGTTCCAAAGCCAACGGGCTGCTGTGACTGCA